AGCTTTGTACTGATCTTCATATCTAGGAACTTCAATAAGAACCTGCAATACCTCAACTTGTCGGGCAATAAGCGACTCCGGATCTCCGTGCCTGGCCACCACCAAAGCATGCCAACCCTCAATCGGGAATCCCTTGCGGGGTTCTCGGAACTCACTCAGCTTCGTGTCCTGGGACTGATGGACGTCATGATCACCACGACGGGAACGAACACGAGCACAGATATCCCAGAAGAGAACGACGATCGTAGAGTTCGGACCTCGTCCTCAGTAGTCAGTGGCATGTTGTATGGCATAGCCGACACGCTGGGGAAGAATCAGCACCTCAACATGCTTGATCTTGTTCATGAATTCCACGGTCTGCAAAAAGACATGGTGTTTGCCATGTTTGGCCGTGCGCAGCCTCCCAAGCAGCTACCGGCAGCCACTACTTCCAATCGCTTTGCCAAATATTTGCAGGAAAACTTTGTGCGCGTCTTCACATCACAGCTCAATTTGCTCAACCCAGAACGATCTGAAGGCGTACCCGATGCTCTACGCCGGTCCTTCCTCAAACTAAATCAGGAGCTCCATGATATGCTCTTCAGTTCCAATCCCATGATCGCCAATCCTTCGATAGTTTGCAGCGGTGCATCAGGTATCGTGGTGTACATTCTGGACAAGAAGATGTACGTCGCGAATGTCGGCAATGTCTTGGCGGTCATCTCGAGGGGCGGTAACGCACATGCAGTGTCGAGGAAACATGAGCCCTATGACCGCGCGGAGACTATCCGTATCCGCTCTGCCGAAGGGTGGATCTCACCTCCAGGTCTTGTCAACGACGAAGTCAATATCTCACGCTCCTTTGGGTTCTACCACCTTCTACCCATCATCAATGCCCGACCTGATATCGTCATCTACGATCTGACCGAGCTGGACGAGTTCGTCATCATTGCCAACCGTGGCTTGTGGGATTATGTCTCGTATCAGACTGCCGTGGACATCACCCGGCAAACAGAGCCAGTGCTCGCTGCTCAGAAGCTGCGCGACATCGCGATCAGCTACGGTGTTGAGGCTACCATAATGATCATGGTTATCAATGTGGCAGATCTTTTCAAGGGCATATCCACCGTTTCTGGCTGAGTGGAAGGCAAGGTAGTGGTGGATGATTGGAGACGCACGCCTCCTTGTCAATGTAGATTAGATTACATAAATCATACACTGCCACCTGCCAGACTTTTGCATCGCATCATCGACTCTGAAGTTTTCTCATCCTCAGCAATCTCTTCCTCGCATACATTGTCTGCGCTTTTTTTCTCCACCCTCCCATCCCTGTTCTTTCTCGCTTACGCTCGGGCCGCTTTGGATCTCGTTCCTCAGACCCTCGGTGGCATTTGCGTACAGGTTTCGTGTCCGCGTCCCGTCCCATTCCGATTCGGACTTTTCCGCTGCCCCCTAAGTATTGCGTCGAAAAGCTCTGAATCGGCCGGAACGGCCGATCCCCCCCGCAAACACACCACACACATCTTCCACTCTCTCCCTCTCTCACATTTCCATGTGAAGCACCGTTTCTCCTCTCTCTCACTTATCACACGTGTCTCACGTGAAGACATCACTACCTTGCCCTGTCAGCAGGCGGAAGAAACGTGGTCCACAGATGCCAAAAAAAATCAAAGCATCGCCTACCCCAGAGCCCGCCGATAAGGTGAGATGGAGGTCCCACGTGATGAGGCGGAGAACGCGCGTTCGGTCGGCGTCGCGCCAGGATCACCACCCTCCCGCCCACACTCCCATGTACCCCGCACAAACCCGATTAGGTGCAAACGGACCGCCACAGCTACACGCGCTCCTCGCCCCCGATGTCGCGCCGGAGCGATAGCAGCTCGGGCAGCGGCGCGGCCATTGTTATGCAGCCCATGCTTGCTGAAATGGAACACCCGCTGCAGCGCGAGCCCCCCGAGCAGCAGGCCGAGTTAGAGGATATTCAGGTCAAGCACAAGCAGACGCGCAACGAGCTAAGTGCCAAGGGTTCGGAGGAGCTGCGGCCCAAGTATGATGTGAATTTATCTATCGTGCTCGGTGCTGTCGATGACCAGCCGAAAATCAACTCCATCGCTCCTGTTGCTACTCTCGTGCACACCCAGCAACGACGAGCAGCGTTATTGGAACAGGTAAAATTTTAGATCCATCCCAATCATTTTTCTGTATTCATTTGTAGTAGGCCTTATCCTCCGCCGACCCGCGTGACGCGCTCCAATCCTGTGAGCAACTGATTTGCGCCTCCCTCCTGGCTATCCTTGGCTCGCGGGAGTTCAAGAATAAGGTGTTGCTGCTCAAGGCCGACCGTGCCCAGTCATTCCTGGACGCTGTGCAGGACGTGCGTTTCTGCATTCGCATAGACAAAAATATTGGGCTAATCTAAACCTAGGTTATCGATAGAGGATCGCTCTCCGTTTCACATACGTCGCAGGCTCGACGTCTAGTCGTCTGACTCTCGGCGGCGAGCGACGAACTGCCTTCGTCGCTGTTCATCACCGGCATTACCGACCACGACGATCAACCCACGTTCCACGGAGGCTTTGGCGACGTGTATCGCGCTTCGTACGGTGACAAGACAGTCGCGCTGAAACGCATCAGAATGTTCCAAGTAAACAGCGACTCCGAGTCGAAACGCATTCGTCAGGTAAATCCCTGTGCGTGGAGATTGGCTCACGCGCTCACACCACCCATTTACAGCAATTTTGCCGAGAGGCACTCGTTTGGCAGAGGTTGCAGCATGAATATATATTACCTCTGATTGGCATAGACCGCGAAACCTTCTCGTCATCGTTTTGCATGGTCTCGCCTTGGATGAAGCATGGCACAGTCCTAAAATATCTCAGCCTCCGCGGGCGCGCGGACGTCGACAGGCTGGTGAGGCATCCCGCGCGCTCATGAGAATCCAGGTTTTCTAATTCTTATGACAGCTGCTCCAGGTAGCGGAGGGCCTCAGGTACCTGCATTCCATGAACATAGTCCACGGCGACCTACGCGGCATGAATATACTGGTGTCGGACGATCTGAACGCGTGCCTCGCGGACTTTGGTCTGACAAGCGCCATCGTAGCCGCCACCAATACGTCCTCGACCAAGCACGGTGGAAGTACGCGGTGGTTAGCGCCTGAGCTGATACACCCAAGTGCCTTCGGGTGTGATCAATTTGTGCGGACGCCCGCGAGCGATGTGTACGCGTTCGCGTGCGTCTGTCTCGAGGCAAGCGAATTCAATCAATTGGTTTAATTTATCCTTATTTGTTTCCAGTTGCATACGGGTCGTCCGCCGTTCTCAGACGTCGCTGGCGACGGCCCAGTCCTCCTCAAGGTCATTGCGGGAGAACGCCCGGCACGCCCGGATACATCCATGTCGCATGACTTGTGGGCACTCGTCACAGCTTCGTGGGCGCAGGAAATTCGTGATAGACCCGGTATCGAGACCATTATTAGAAGCATGCGGGTACAACTCGGAATTGGTCATTGAAGTGTACGAAAATAATCCTCCTGGCTGGTCACGAGTCTAGGTACCTCAATGAGTTTAACGGTAGCGGTAGATAAACGTTTGGATCCAGTCTAATCATATTAATTTACCCCTTGGTTCGGAAAGGCTGCAGCACATATCACCAGCGCGTAATTAATCTGGCCTCCCAACACTGCCTCAAGTTGTCCACTGAAATACTCTCCAGATTTTTATTGGTGGCCTAATACCCTGAGTATTCTCCAAGGTGCTCGAATCCCGGTCAATTCATCCTTGTGCTCGATCGTCATCTGGATCCATCCCTCTCTTGATCTGTGTACCAGCCAAACCCCCGTCGAGTCAGTCGTCCACCGTGGCAACAATCCGGGACTGGAGGAGCTTCTTCATGAATGCGTCATTTATAGTTCAAGGCTAAGGTCCTCCTCTTGCTTGGTGCCGTCAACAATTACATGGAATCTCTCCTCAACTTCCCTGACTTGGCCAAGGAATGTATGAATATTTTGGCTTACACACAGCATGTAGCTCTTTGTGTGATTTTCTGCAGCTCCTGACCATCATGGGCCCAGGTATGTACTTTATCCGTAGGCGGCGTGAACAGGTCCGGGGTTTTCGCTAAATAAACATGAGAATGCGGTCGTTTAGAGTAGAGCGCGCGAGAACTGCCTTCCACTTACATACTGCCTTCACGGTTGAAGTGGAAGTCGAGTTGAACTACTAGTACAACATCAGCACTGAGTATTATCGAGTTTGATTATTGAATGACACCGAGTTGCAGTGAGCGGTCCAAAAGCTTGGATGCTAGCACTCACGCTCGAGATGTGACGAATGACATTCTGCAAAGGGAAGACCTGCGACAGCAATGTGTGAACTGGTGGACACCGGGGATTTACACCTGGGAGGAGTGAACTCTGACCAGGTCCCACAGGGTTTTAACCAGTGGTCCTGCCATTCATGGCCGGCCAGTCCACGTTTAGCTAGCGTCTTGCAGTCATCGCCCCCCTGGAATGAATGTGTGCTCCGTTGGCATCTTGTAGTTTTATGTACGGCTAACCGCCCGTATATCCCTACATGTTTGTTTTCGGTAGACTCGTTGTTCATGTTGTGGACCATGCGAGTATAATAAATCCCCCCCCCCCCCCCCCCCCTGATCAGTGGAGTATGGGAAACCCTCAGCCTGGATGTAATGAGCTACAAGAACTGCTAAATTGAGAGAGAGGCTGAGCTCAGGGGTTGGATTCCCCGGCGCTTTTACCTCTCCTCCCCTCGGACGCCTCCAAATACAACAATACCTATAAGTGTGCGCTGCAAAGAGAAGAACGCATCGGTGGGGTACTGGAACCCACAGCCCGGCCGTGCTGAACTCATTCATCCTTTGCGAGGCTGAGACCGGGGTTCGACTCCCCGCCGATACATGCATGTGTCACTTCCGATATCATTTTTACCTCCCCCCCGCGCATCTGTCCAGATCCAGAAATCAACTCAATATGACTGCACGTTGCGTGCTGAGGGAATAACGCATCGGTGGGGTACTGGAAACCCACAGCCCAGCCGTGGATGAAATCAAGAACGTTCTTTGCGAGGCTGAGCCCGGGGTTCGAATCCCCGCCGGTGTAATTCCGCCGTTTTCGGTATCTTCTTTTTCTTTTAGGTGCCAGAATTATGTCCACCCTCAAGGCAATTCACCAACAATTGGCGGAGCCTCGTAAGACCTCGATTAAAATCCAGTATGAGAACACTGAGATCGCCGATCAGAATGAGCGGAGCATCCAAACATGTCCTCTTTCGATGCGTTCATGATCAATGCGTACCGCTGTTCATGCCTCTGCGCAAAAATCGATATTGCTGACGTGAATTGAACAAGCCTATTGTGCTACTCCGGCGACTTATTGGGGGAGCTTGCGACCCCTTTTGATAAGGGATCCCAGAAAACGTGTCACGTGTAAATGCGCGGGTCTCGTATGATTGGCTGTGAATCACGTGATCGGCCCGCCCGCCGCAGGCGAGAAGAAATTGAAATGTTCGTTGAGCGCAAGGTTTGAACTCACGCGCCCTCGGGCCTGGCCCCATGCCGTCCCCGGCTGGTCTGAGTTTCAATCCTGTTATAGCACCAAACCTTATTTTGCTTTGTCACATCAATCCACGGACTGTCAAAGTGTCGTTCTCGGTCTAGATCTCTCTGCTTCCGTTGCGGCTTTCTGGCTTCTTCTGCTCCGAATAGCTTCAGACTCCGGATCGGAATTGAACAAGCCTAAAACCCCTCTGATCTGATCAGAAGTGTGAATCTTGCGGCGATTTCTTTAGATAAAGACCTGAGCAGACTTTGAGGAGGTCACGAGTGCAACCTCGTCGGGACGACTATCTGGGGTTTATCTGGAAGCAGCTATCTTGGGAATTTCTGGGCTCTATAGATAGATAACAGGTTCTGGGCTCTGAACAAGTCACTGCATGACATATAGCATACAAGCATATATCGGTATTTAATTTCACTGATTTGGGAAGATATATAGCTGAGAATAGTAAAGATGGCTGGTGCTCCACAACTGAACTCAGTAGCATATGGTGCTAGGAGGGCTCGCCAACGGGCAGCACAACTGAACGAGACACCACACATTTACCTCCCTACCTCTGAGGAGATTTTAAATGGAAGATGGTCTGAGAATTTCCCTCGAACTCCTCGAGGTGGCCGTAAGTAACTTTGCTATTGATTTGTGACTGTGTTCTGATTTAATTTTAAAGCCCACCTTGCTCCACCACAGAATTGCAGAAATGGGTTGTCAGCAGCTACAGAGGCTGTTCCAGGAGGAAGACGCTCACGTATCTCTGTCTATGCAACTCGGCCTGACACCCTGCCCCTGCACAATTTGTCAAATGACATTGTTCAAAATTCTCCGCAGTTGTCTGGTATGTATTATTAAATGAATCATTGGTCTTGACTCTGATTGATTTTTTAATCAGTACGGGCTCGATTGTATGGAAACCTCACTCCACATGGTCCAGGTTCCCGTGATCAGCCAGGAAAGCGGAGTCGGACTGAGCTTAGCCACTTGTCACCGTCTCATATCACAACAATGGATATATATGGTGATCCTGAATTCCATCCCCAACGTCTTTTCCCAAATGCTGGTCCGAGTGGAATTCAGAGTGCATCAACTGATGTTTTTGGTACTCCTACTATGCCTCCACCTCCTCCGCCTCCATCTCTAGCATCTGTTGCAGATGAACAAAATCAGGGTCTAAATATATCACCACCCGGGTCTCCATCAACTGATGTTTTTGGTACTCCTACTATGCTTCCACCTCCTCCGCCTCCATCTCTAGCATCTGTTGCAGATGAGCAAAATCAGGGTCTAAATATATCACCACCCGGGTTTCCAATCACTTCTTTGCCATCTCCAGTTTTACCACCACCACCACCACCTTCTCCTATGCCCCTGAATCTTCCTGTCATTCCTCTGATCCAACCACCACCACAAAATCAGGGTCTAAATATATCACCACCTGGCTCTCCAATCGCTTTTTTGCCATCTCCAGTTTTACCTCCACCACCACCACCTTCTCCTATGCTCCTGAATCTTCCTATCATTCCTCCGATCCAACCACCACCTTCACCTGCGCCACTTAATCCACCTGTAATTCCACTGATCCAACCAGGTCCTGCTAATCGTACAAGGCCACGGCGTGCAGCAAGAGATCCAAATCCAGATAACCCTGATAAGCTGTACTGCACTAGACGGAAACATTATGTTGACAAGGCTGTATTTGGGGACTTAGCAACCTGTATTGGTTGTTGTGCTCGTGACCGAGATAATCGTCAGGCCGCTGCAGCTCAAATTGCGGAGGAGTTAAGACTACAGGAGCTGGCAAATCAAATCCCACCAGAGGACCCTCTTGTGGATGTGCCACATGGGCCCCCATTGCCTCTTCCTCCTGTGATTCCACTAGCTCAGCTTGCAGTTTCACCTGCAGAGAAAGAGATGATGAATCATGTGAGGGAGAAGTGGATGAACATTTCTTTGGAGTCTTGTGATGCATGTGATGAACGGTGGTTCGACTTGGATGTGAAGAATGGGAAATGCGAAAAATGTAGAAAGCCCAGAAATGCAGCAAAGTTCCAGAATGCAAATCAGATGAATCCAGGTGCAGCTGCAGAACTGCCTCCTCTGACCCAGATTGAGGAGATGATAATCTCACCGGTCCATGCACTTGTCTCATTGTATCAGGTTCGGGGAGGGCAGTTCAAATACTCTGGGCACTGCTGCAATTTCTCACGTGATACTGCTGTCTTTCACAACAAACTGCCACTTCTTCCAGAGGAATGTGATGTGATTATCATGCGCAGAACTGGTGTTAATGCTACCACGAATGAGGAGATCCACCAAGACTTCAGAGTTCGCCGGGATGTTGTTGAGAAATGGTTGAAATATTTGGAAGTCCATCATCCAACATTCCGTTCTCGAAGTGTCACCATCGACTGGAACCGTCTAAATGAACTTCCAGGAGATGGATCTGTGCATGATCGTTTGCGAACAGTGGAATCTCAGACTATGCCGGATGTTCACCAGGATGCCGGGCCTCCACAGGAGGGAGAGAACCCAGGCCCAGATGAACCTCTGTTCACCCGGGGATTTGTGCCTAATATCAACAATGGTCAGACAGAAATTGAACAGCTGCAAGCTGCTGCCTTTCATAATGGAGACCCAGTTATCATGAGCATGCCACCCATTCGCGGTACCCCAATAAATGAACATAGTGGCCAAACAATTGCAATTGATGCCTTCCCTTCTCTGTTTCCAAATGGCAAAGCAGATTTCAATGCACCCCGTGATATTGAAGTTTCAATGGCGGAATGGGCAGCCCATTTGATGCGCTTCAAAGATGGCCGATTTGCAAGGCACCCACGTTTTCGTTATTGGGCTCTTAACACAATTATGCGGCATAGTGCAAAGAAAGCATCCAAGTGGTATACAACAACACACCAGGAGGATAAAGCTTTGTCTGTGGCAGATATAGAGCAAATGCTGAAGGATGATGATGCTAAAGGTCTTGCAGATCGTGTTGCTCATGCTGCAGTCAACCTCCCAGGCTCACGGCCATTCTGGTCAAAGGCTCAGCGCGATCTCATTGCCCAAATCCGCTCTCCACAGTGCAGAACACCACATGTGTTTGTAACATTTTCATCTGCAGATGTACAATGGCCAGATATGCATCGTCATATGCCGAATTATGATCCCAATGCTGAAGAGGATGCACACTCCTATCGTGTCAGGATGAAAGATCTCAATGAGAACCCTGCTATTGCATCGTATTACTTCCAGAAACGATTTGAAGTCTACTTTGAACACTATATCAAAAAGAAGTTCAATGTCTCGGACTTTTGGTGGCGGTATGAGTGGCAGCATCGTGGAAGCAGTCATATCCATGGCTTCCTGTGGATTGAGGGTGCACCATCTATTGATGATCTTGATCTGTCAGATCCGATGCAGGTGCAGGGGTTCATTGATTTCTGGGATCAGCATGTCTCAACATGGAATCCTTCAATTTCTACCCCACCTGCAGCGATTCATCCTTCTGCTCGTTTGTTCAATACTCTGGAGGACACAAAGCTGGAGCTTGCAGAGATGTTGAATCGCTTGCAACGTCATACAAAATGCACACCAGGATATTGTCAACGCAAGAAGAAAGGCACAGGAGAAGTCTTCTGTCGCTTTGGTTTTCCAAAACCATGCCATGAAGAGTCCAAGTATACCAAAGATCCCAATCGCGATTTTGCTGAGCTTCACACTCGTCGAAATGACGAACTCGTGAACTCCTACAATGCAGGTGTCATTCTATCGTGGCGTGGAAACATTGATTTCCGGCCTGTGATCAATCGTGAGGCTGTCATAGCATATGTGGCCAAGTATGCTAGCAAGGCCGACAGCACATCTGCAACCTATGAGGAGGTTCTTAGAACAGCCATTTCCCGTCTGCAGGAGACAGATGCCGCTGGAATCGCATATCAGAAGATGCTCTCAACATTTGCTGCTGAACGTGATGTTTCTGCTCAGGAGACATGCCACATCCTGTTGAACTGTGACCTCACAAGAAACTCTCGACCACCACCACGAAGCTTGTGTGTTGATCCTAATAGTTCTTCCGCTACAGTTGACTTCGAAACCCGTCGAATTCTGAGACTTGGAGTGCAGGATCGGTACAAAAAGCGCACTGGACCACCAGAGTTGAACATGAAGGATGTGACTTTGCTTCAGTTTGCAACTCACTATGACTGGAACTCTGAAACATACTGCCGAAAGCGTGGACGAAATGAAGGCAAGCCATATGTGGTTAATGTTTGGCCCCGGTATCAACCGGACAGGGATAACGAGGAGCTCTATGAGAAGTACTGCTATGCCAGAATGATTCTCAACCATCCGTTTGGCACTGATGCAGAGGAATTGCTTTGTGGCGCCGAGTTACCACGAGATGACCAGGACAAACCAGGGAAATATATCAGCTGGGCTGTTGCATATCAGGTTGAATGTCTTGACAAGGGCCACCAGCATCGAGATGACACCCTGCCTACCATTGGAGAGGTTGCTGGAGATGACGAGGAAAGTGATTCAGAGTCTGTTAA